AAAAAAATTAGGTCCAAAGATCCTGGAGCAAACTAGACACGGATAGACAACACGGCTCTCTAACTGGGTTCCTTTTTTTTTTTTTTTTAAAGATTTTATTTATTTATTTGCCAGAGAGAGAGAGCACAGCAAGAGGAGCAGGACAGGGAGAAGCAGGCTCCCCGCTGAGCAGGGAGCCCAACACAGGGCTCAATCCCAGGATCCCGAGATCATGACCTGAGCCAAAGATAGACGCTTACTCGATTGAGCCACCCAGGTGTCCCTCCGACTGGGTTACTGTGCTTACCAAAGTCAGACACACTGCCGGTCTTCGTGAGCTGCACATCATAAACACTTAGCGGGAAGATTTCTATTTCATCATAAACCTACAAAAGGAAAAACAACAAAATCAAAAAATTTAATGTCATGATATCTTGGAAAATTTTTGTAAAGATTTTATTTATTTGAGACAGCATGCTCACAAGTTGGGGGAAGAGCAGATGGAGAAGGAGAAGCAAGACTCCCCACTGAGCGCTGAGGCTGACGCGGGGCTCAGCTCCAGGACTCTCAGATCCTGACCTGAGCCGAAACCAAGAGTCAAACGCTCAACCAACTGAACCACCCAGGCGCCCCTTTGGAAATTTATTTTAATGATTTCCAAACTAGATGCCAAATTAAAACAGAATCCCCCCCTCCCCTACAGATTACATACTTTTTTTTTAAGTAGGCGCCACACCCAGCATGGAGCCCAACTCGGCACTTGAACTCACAACCCTGAGATCAAAACCCGAGCCAAGATCAAGAGTCGGACACTTAACCGACTGAGTCACCCAGGCGCCCCCACAAATAACTGACTTTTAAAATCAAGAGGCCTTAGATGTGGTTCAAATCACTTGCCTGTTCTTGCATGTATTCATATGGTGCAGGGACACAGTACTCAATGTTTTCATCTACTAATTTTCGGAGCTGTAGGCCATAGTGACTGGGTTCCAGCTGCCTCATCTGTAAAGAAAAAAGACAGCCATTCAAGATTTTAAATGTTCTTTCTAAATTCATCGTTGTTCATTAAAAATCAAAGTGGACATTTCTGAAAGAAATACTGTATATACTGCATGGAGTTTAAACCCATACGTAAGAGCTGAAATTTAAATGTGCAAAAAAAGAAAGACGGGACAAATAATTACTTTTAAGAAGGTTTTCTCTAAATGACACCGCTTATCACTAAAAAGCAAGAGGTGTATTTTTAAGAACTTAGGGTAGTATATTATCTGATAGGATAGATCTTAACCATCTCAGCAGGTACTATCATTTTATACATTGGTTTTACCCAAGTTGTTTCTCATTACTGAAGTAGAGAAATTGTGTGAAATGTGAAAAACCTCATATTGTACAGACCTCAGAATTAGGAATTTCCTACCCCAAAAAATGTTTTTTCAAAAAGAAAATGTTGATACACATACTCATCCACTCACTCACAAATTATTTCAGGCCTATGCTCTAACTGGGTCTAACTGACCCACTCCGACTTCTGGTGTCCTATGTCACTTACAGACCTATGAACTTCATAACTCGTGTTGTTGGTAGAAAACAATATTGTGGGTTGTCTGAATAAAAACCTTACATAACGGAGTAGAGGACATTAAACTGGTAAGAATGTAAAGCTACATATATAAATGTCTGGTGTCCTAAGGCTTAAGTCAAAGCAAGACTATTAAAAGATAAAATTAATGATTATTCATATCTGTTAAGTGTACATGGTAAAGAGTTAACCAAAGTCCACATGCCTATTCTCACCATGCCAGGTTATTTGATGGCATTTTCTCTGAAACTTAAGAAGAGTTCAGCTCTACTGCGCCACCTGGTGGATTAAAAACCTCTGCTCTGACGTTCAGTCTATTACCAGCGGGCTCTCTTTAAGACTTAGTGTAAACATTCTTTTCAGAAACAAAACCCAGTTTGAATAATGAGTAAAACACCATCTCATAACAATCTCCATGAAGCAACCGTGAATAGTATCAAGTTACTCGTTTAATCTAGAGAAACTCGATAAAACTGCTTAGGAGTAAACCAAACTACTTCGAAGTTTACGCCACTTGCTTACGGAGCACTGTCCCTAAGGAACTTAAATAACAACAGTCTTCATGATTATTCTAGATATAAAGGCATATTAGGAATTTCAGTAAAACGACTCAGGTTCTTCATGAAGGCAAGGGCCCATAACCTAACAACTCACTCTTCTAAAAGATGGAAGAAGAGAATGCTAATTAAAGTAATAAATATGTCCATTAATAAACATGTTAATATTTGTTAATCTTTTCCCTAGTATAGAAAGTGAGCTCCTAAATACCACACAGATTTAAAAGGCATAGGGAGGCAACATTAATGATTCTTTCTACTGAGACATATTTCCACAGCAAAATCCATTACCTTGCATGCCAAAGTCAAAATATCTTCTACTCTATGTTCTGGCTTGATCATTACAGTAACCCCTTGATTATCCTGAAAATGAACGTAGGTCTGGACTTCCCACGTGTTGTCTCGGGGAACACAATCGGCTGTTGAACCGTATATATGCAGAAGTTCATCCACCTGTTTTCAGATACCACAAGAAAATACAGATAGATTTGATACACAAAGCACGGACACTATGAAAAAAATGTCCCCTTGATTCATGGCATATTTTATAGTAAGCCCTTCTACATTCCTTGTGTCTGGCTTCTCACAACCCTCTAGGGCAGACAAGCCCAGTGTCTCCTCATTCATTTAACCCACACAAAACTGAAGCCCAGGGAGGCTGACCAGAAGGCAATGGACTCCTCATCCAGTGTTCTAGCCACATGCCATTTGCCACTTAGCCCAAGTCTGAACATGACACAGTGGATGCAACACTGCTTGGTATCCACTCTCACTGCTCTAGAATTGCTGGTTGACAAGCGCCCTGTGTAATCTGCATTCCTGATCCCCGTGAATTTTTAAATGGTCTCATTTATGGCCACTGATGCCTGCCCGCATCCTAACCCGAACTGCACTTCATCTGAGCAGGTTTCTCTTCTCTCATATTTCTACTTGCTTCTTAAAATCAGTCCCTAATCCTGGGAACATTTTTTTTTCTTTCTGTCAGCTATTTCACATCTAGACACTCTTAGAAATCATCCCCAAACATACCAGCTTTAGAAGGAAGCTTTTCCCAAAAATGTTTAATTCCCTGGACCCCATTAGCATGGTAATTCAATGATCTCATGTTAACATAAACTTCCGTGATTTATAAACAAAAATAGTTAATATGTATTAAACAACTCAGATATGTGCTGGGTGCCTGGGTGGCTCAGTTGGTTAAGCGTCTCCTTCGGCTCAGGTCATGATCCCATGATCCTGCCTGGGGTCGGGACCAGAGTCGGTCTCCCTGCTCAGTGGGGAGTCTGCTTCTCCCTCTACCCTTCTCCCCTGCTCATGATCTCTCTCTCTCTCAAATAAGTAAATCTCTTAAAAAAAAAAAAAAAATGTCGTCCTCTGGTTAGATTCTTGCATTGGTCTTCACTGGTGGTAAAGAAAAGACCCGGGGATTTGAAATCAAAAAACCTGATGTTCAAGTTACACATTCTACCATTTAATCAGCAGGACAGGACATTCACCTTGATGAGCCTTGTCTCCTATTCTGTAAAAGGGGATATTAGTAATATAATTACTTAGGTTTATTAGTTAATACAGATTTTGCAAACAAAAAAATACAGATGTGAAAATACCTTACACACTAGAAAATGTTACTTTCAATACTATCACATAATTATAGCCTACTTATCATAAAGTTATCATCAATGGATTTTACTCTGAATTCCATGCATTAAAAAGCCCACAAAGCAAAAAAATCCTCCTATGCTGGATAAAAAAACTAGAATAGAGGGGCACCTGCGTGGCTCAGTCGGTTAAGCATCTGCCTTGGGCTCATGTCATGATCCCGGGGTCCTGGGATGGAGACCCAGGTTGTGTTCCCTGCTCAGCGGGGAGCCTGCTTCTCTCTCTCCCCCCTGCTCATGCTCTCTCTGTCTCTCTCAAATAAATAAAATCTTAAAAAAAAAAAAAAAAAAAAAAGCAAGAATAGATATGTTGAAGATTTCAAAAGAACAGGCTCAGGAAAAGCAAGAAAAGAATCAATTTTTCTGTGCTGTCTTTTTAAAAATGTGGTATTCGTCTTTAAAGGGATGTTTCTGGACCTGTCATGGATCTGTCACTTTCTGTACAGTTTCCTGGAAAATGATAATAGCCCAGAATGAATATCAACCTCATGTGCCAAACCAAAAGAAAAAAGAGAGGAATAGACGCCTGGAGCCAAGGAGCAGGCAGCCAGCATGGACCCACTTTCTCCTGAAGGATCCTATCTCATTCAGATCACTATTCCTTCTCTGATTCAACCTCCAGGTACTTTTCCTCTGGGGAGTGATTTCAACCAGGTGCATTAGTAACAAGCAGGTACTTCCTTAAAGGTACAGACCCCACCTCTCAAACCAGGCTTGCTCAGAACCAAACTAAAACCCCAGCAGAGGTCACTGTGGAGTAAGAAACCGCACAGGAAGCCAGGCCAAGAAGTCAGACAGTGGATTACTCCCGCAAAGCAATTGAATCTTGTACTTTCAGAGCAGAACAGGAAAAACTGAAGACGGACAGGTGGAAGAGGGATAGAAGAAATACAAGCTCGCAACTATCCTTCCCTTTCCTCCTGTTCCCATCCTTTATTCTCCAGCATAGAGAGACTGTCTTACATGGGGCCAGATGGAATAGCTTTTTTTTTTTCTTTCCAAGTAGGCTCCACACCCAACCTGGGGCTTGAACTTGCCACCCTGCAATGAAGAGCTGCATGCTCTACTGAGCGAGCCAGCCAGGCAGTCATGTGCCCCTGGATGGAATACGCTTTTCACATGCTGTCAGTTCACTGACAACCCTTTACACATTGCCCTGACCCTCTAGGTAACAAGTGAGAAAAACGAGGCTCAGAAAATTCTAGAACCTTGCCCAAGCGCACACAGTGAGCTGTGATGATGGTACTATGGGGATCTGAACCCTAAAAACCTGGCTTCAGCCTATGCTCGGTTCAGCCTATGCTCACCACCACTGCGCTATATAGAAATATCAACCTGCCAGTTACCTCCCCACAAAATGGATACAACTTAACTTTCTCGAATCTTTTCTGTTCCTCTACAGCACACACCAGGTTCTAGTGGAACAAAACAGCTCACCTGACATTCCCCACAAAGCAGCAGCACTCTTTTTTTTTTTTTTTTAATTTTATTTATTCATTTGAGAGAGAATGAGATAGAGAGAGCATGAGAGGGGGGAGGGTCAGAGGGAGAAGCAG